GGTCCTTGCGCGGAGCCTTGACGCGGCGGTGCAGGAGCGGGAAGGACAGGTTGCTGGCGTGGTACTCCGCAATGCTAAGGCGCTTCACCTGGTGGTTCGGGATGCTTTTCACGCCCAGCACCTCAACGTTGCAGTACCGCGCACGGTGGCGGGAGGCGAGGTCGTGATACGCCTGGCTCACCGCCCCCGCCTTGCAAACGTCACGGAACTCCTTCACCATGTGCGTGTATCCGCAGCGCTGGCTGTAGTACGCAATGTCGACGCTGTAGTTGCGTGCCGCCAGCTTACGGTCCTTCACGACCTTGCAGGAGAGCACGTCACCGTGGGTCGACTTCACCTTGTTCTTATCCCGCATCATGCGCCAGAAGCGGCTCTTGGCGACGACGAAGTTCGGCGCAAAAACCTCATACTTGTAGACGGTCGGCTCGGGGTTCTTCTCCGACGGCGTCTCGCGGCCGACGACGCAGTAGTGACGAAGGTGCGGCTTCACCATTTCTCTTTGCTTCTGCTTCTGCTTGCTTCCTCCTGTTCCTGGCGCCAACACACAGCCAAGGCGAGTGTGACAAGTATGCAAAGGATGAAGGGAAATAGAGAAGAAAAATGCAATGAGCTCAATGTATGCTTTTTAATGGGTGTTTGTCTTTTTGCGTTCGCTACACGCACTCGCCCACCCCTCGCCGTGCACACGTAAACATGACCCCCCACCCCTCCCTCACAACCCTCGCGCAAAAATGCGCACGTCACGGCGGCAACAGCGCCAAGCAGTCTGAAAAACCTGCCTCTTTTCATACTTACAAAGAGAAATATACATATATATATATATATATATATAGGGATGCACTCTCCCTCCCTCTGTTTTTGTGTGTGCCGGTGTCTCTGTCAGCAGGAGGGTATTGCTGCGCCACACGCACGGCATGCGGAGCAAAGAACATGCAACAATACCCGATGAAAGTACGCAAATAATAATAATAATAAAAATAATAAACAGAAAAAATAAAAAAGAGGAAAAAGAAACGACTAATAATAATACGTGTCTTCGCCCTACCAAATTCATTACACCCAAACAACACAGACGCACACATTATGAGAGGTAAACTATCATCGGCAGATATTCATGCGTGCGCTGCCGTGAAGGTGGTTTTGCTCTCCGCACTCCGTCTGGGTTCGTGGTTGGACCGCAGCCTGCGTGGGTGTGGGCTCGGCGGTGTAGGCGAGGCACAGCCACATCACGAGCGCCATAATTTGTCCCTCCTCGTCCTTGCCATCCGCGGGTAAACACATATGCGAGAAGAGACCAGCCGCTGCTTCAGTCCCCGACGCTGCTGAGAATGGTCCTGGCCTCAGGGTAGCAGGCGCGACATCATCATCGACGCATGACCCATTGTTTCCCTCCACGTAATGCACACCCGTTACTGTTTTTGCCAAATGCACAGCAAGGGCTATGATTGCCGCCCGCTCACACCCGGCCAACGAGGATTTCTGCTTTGCCGTCGCCATGGCGGCTGCGGCGATGGCGTCTGTAGTGGGATCATCGTTCACCCACATGACTTGGTCCCCATACATGCATGAAGGACGCGCCATGTCTTCGACGCGTAGCCCACCGATACTGTGCAGATGCAGCATCTCGTATGACATGCGCCCGTACACCTCCAGGACGATGCACGCCACGGTGAACGTTGCTTCGGGCAATGCCTGCCATACAAGCTGCGAGGAGGATGCCAAGCGCCGCGCCACCGCGTCCGCTACCGCCGTCTGAAACATACGATAACAGCCCCAAACTCTCCCTACACAGTCCAGATGCCTGAGCCTCACCGCGTTTCCCTTTGACGCCAGGTAGGCACCCCAATCATGTTGGCCAAACCGCACCAGAGTGGTGTGTAGGTGCACAAACCACCAGTAATACGCCTGTCGCACTTCGGCTAAACTCTCAGAGGCCGCCCTGTCCGGATGGTGCGTCACCGCCTCTACCTCCGCCTCCTTGTCGCCCAAAGACCCCGCCGTTATCCCAGCTGCAGGAGGCGGCGTAGAGCGTCTTCTCTGTGTCTTTCGAAAAGTCATAAGTGGAATGAGCGGGGCATTCTCGCACAACAGCTTATGTGGGATCGACCTGCAGTGATCGATAAACTCCCACGGTGTGGCGAACCACTCCCCGTTATGCACAGCTGGGAACAGCCACGAGAGCGCCTCCTCGTCAGCAAGCGAGGCACCCATCACCACCGCAGAGGGATGAGCAGCCATCAGTGGACGCGCAAGCAATAGCTCCCGTACTCGGTCAGCGAACAGCGGGGGACCAAGCTGGTACCACCGCGTCGGGTACGGCGGGCAGTATTCCTTGGCGTAGAGAGGTGCTCCTGGAGGCGACGTCACAGAGGGCACGCTACGCACCTTCATATCTGGTGCGGCAGCGTTATCGGAAATGACATTGGTTCGTGCCGCCTTCGTGTCTTTTGTGGCCACCACCAAAGGAGACGTCTTCCTGCCCCTCGAAGCTGCCCCGGCAATGTCTCGCTTGCCACGCATGCTAACATTGTTTGGAGACGTTTTCACTGCCTCTACGGCCAACTTTTCCTTGCGACGTTTGACGAGGCGAGGGTACCACACCCACCGCTTCCTCGCCACCATCGCCCACCCCGCCTCGCTCCTCGCGTCTTGTGTCTTTATATATAAAAAATATCTCTGTAAACGCCTACGCTGCACGCAGAGGAACAAAGACAACAACAACAACAGCAAGGCGGCAGTGGGACGTTAAACTTCATGCCATGCGCAAACGCAAGTGAACAGGCGCACGCGTGTGGAGTGACATCGAGGGCCAAAATAAAATAAAAAAAAGAAAAAAAACTTCACATGGGCGGCTAATGATAGCCGTGGAGCGGGGGAAAAAAAAGAGCACCACCAACAACAACGCCACCAAAAGCAGACGTAAAGGGAGAGATAATAATGATAATATTAATATATAAATAAAAGCCGCCATTAACAACAAACCAAAAATAAGCTGCGCTTCATCATCCACGTCATTGCCTCCAGAGAGAGCAGCAGCAGCGACCATCCGTAGCTTCTGGAACTACCAGTGGCGGGCGTCAATCCCTCTGATGCTCCACCACCACCACCACCACCTTCCACTTCCCAAACGAAACGCTTCCATGCATTCCACCCGCGTTTACACCCTTCGTTTTTTTTTCTTTTTGCTGTTTTTCTTTACAAACCTAACTGCGCCTCCAGACTATAGGGGTCAACCTTCTCCTCCGTCTCCTTCTGCGGTTTCTCCTTTCCGGGTAGCTCTGGCAATTTTGCTCCTGGCATGGCAAGAGCGTCGGCAAGGTAGCTGGAGTCCGTTTCTTTCTCCATGTCCAACGCAAGTGCGTCCAACTCCCCCATCATCTCTTCCTCATCAATGTCCTCCGGCACATCATAGGCGCGGCCGAGAATATCCTGCACCTCCTGCGTGTCCTCGTAAATGTCACGTAACTCATCTTGCAGGTTTTCAATCTTTGATAGATCCACCCGCCTAAACTCGCGTTTAAGACTCCTCGTTGCATCCTTCAACGCATCCAGCTGCACCTTTGTGTCCTTCATCGCCTCCGTCGTAAACTGCAGCTGGTCCATGTTAAACTGTTGCTGCATCATCATGTCCTGCTGGCCCTGGTACATGCGCTTCTGCTGCATCAACTGCACGGCACGCTGCTTGTACCGCTGCTGGGTTGCCCCACGTGTCTTGAGAATGCAGTCCTTTAGCTTCATGAGTTCGGCATCGATTTTTCCCACCCGAGCGTCCACCACCTCATTACGCGTGTTAAGACGAACGCTGGCGTCCTCCAATGTGGGCTTAGTGGTACCCTTTTTTTTACCGAACAAACGATTCATCGCCAGGTGTGTGCGTGTGCAAATTTATGGATGTAAATCCCCTTCTTTCTTTCTTTCTTTCTTACCTTGTTGTTTTCTTGATGGGACTCCTCTGCGGTTTCCCCCCCCACCCACCCACTCACCCACCTTTTATTTTTTGCGTGTACTCTTGTGGTTCCTGTTGTTCTCTCAGGCTTCCTGCGGCCGCAGGAAGGAGCAAGAAAAAAAAAAGACGTGGAAAGAAAGAGAGAAGGAGTGAGGCAGAGGCAGCTACACACGCACGCACACATGTATCGATGCCGCGACCAAACGACACACAGCTGCCGGGGGCGGACCTGAAAGAAGGGAAGGTGGGGTAGCTGGGGCGGAACGCGTGTCAAGACACACGTCGCAGGTATTGAAGGCGCAGGATGCAAAAAAAAAAAAACAAACAACAAACAAACACACAAATAAAATAAGAAGAAAATAAAAAAAAGGAGGGGGGAGCGTGCGAGTGCGGCGAATTGGCCATACTCCGTCCCCACCCCAGTGTACTGTACATAATACATGTGAAGAAGCAAAAAATGAAGCAGGAGGCGCAGAGGGCAAATACGAAAAACGGCTCATTTACATCGTCCAGGTTGAAACGTGCAACAAGACACAGCGGCGGGGGAGGCACGGGGCGCACACACACACACACACACACCAGACCACCTCGCATCGAAGGAGGGAAAGAGTGCTGCTAGTAGGAGACCGCAACTCTCCATGAAGAATGCGATATACGAGGGCGCGGCGAAGAAATCAGTTACGGCAGAGAAATCCAGAGCAAATACAGAGATACGAAAAGAAAAAAAGAGAGAAGCAAGCAAGCAAGGAAGTAAACGACAACAATCGTAAACTTTCGGCGTTAGCAAGCGCCTATCTGTTGGCGAGGCAGTTCTGTGTGGATATTGTGTTTGCATGCACTGATGCACGCTCCCGTGCCATTAGTAGTTGTTTCTCACGCAGGGTGGCCTTCAGTGTCGCACCCATCGCCTCCATCTCATTCTTCAGCTGCGCCATCGTGTTTTTGCCTTCGTCCACTTTAAGAGTGCTGCTGAGGGTGCAGGGGCATGGGACCCCCAAAGAGAGCGGAATAAACAACGGCAACTCCACCGGATCCACCCCCATGGTATCCGTGTATGAGAGACGATGACCCCGGCAACCTTCCGAGCCGGAACCAACACTTCGGAATGACATACTTGCCACCTGCGGCGACTTCCATGTCATAAGTGTTTGCATGAAACGCGCCATTTCCCACGCTGAAGACCTTCGTCTTCGCTCGCGCCGTGCAGCACTAAGCTGCTCAGGATCCGTACCCTTTACTTCGATAGGCTTCTGCTCCGCCAGGTGCTTCTGCGTCTGGCCCAGGACCATAAAGTGAAACGAGCGTCGCTTTGCCTTCTCCCGTAGAAGAACTTTAACGCCGTATTGCCGTTCTTTATAGGCTTCACCTTTATGCTTGCCGACTGCAACAATGTCGGAGATCAGGGGAAGTTTATCCGTTTTTGTGTTATAGCCCACGCCAGCCTCAGCGGCGTTCTTGTCGACATGCTGTAGACGTGGAAGCGGCGACGGCGTGGCAAAGTGTACGGTAATCGAAGGCAACTGAGCCCAGTTTCCCCCATTCGTCTGCATAGAAATTGACTCCGTTCGCGTTGTAAGCGGTAAGGTGGAGCTAAATAGTCGGTATTGAGAGCCCTGAGATGCATTGATGGATGGTAAGGTGGGCTGGAACACATTGGAGGCACTCGGCGAGGGGAACATGAAAGGCTCACTGCCAGAATCCTTGACCACAGCACCCTTTGTAGGCAACTCACACGTAGGCGCCTGTGTGCCGACCACGGGAGTGCTCGTAACAAAACGCATACCCGCAACCACAGTTGGGTCTGTGCCAGTAACGGCACCACGAGTTGTAATATCTAGCGTGCCTGTAACAGTCGTCGGAAGGGGTGTTTCATCCTCGGCGAGGCTTCTCTCCATCTGCGAGGCTATGGCGGTTTGCCGAGGGGGCTTTAGTAAGCGTTTCGATCCTATAAGGTTTGCACGACAAACAGGAAACTGCATAATCGACTTTCGTCGCGTACGCGCCTCCTGCATCCCCGTAAGGACGCGCTCGAGCAGCTCCACAATGCCGCGATCGTAGTACAACCCCTCCTCAAAGGCTAAAACGTAGGTGGGAGGACAGGGTTCGCTTGCGGAGCTCACAAAGCTTGGGCTGGTGCACTGCACGCGACTGCGCTCCCGTGCCCGGAGGAGGGTTGACAGTGACACCAGCCGCTTCCCCATCGCCGCCGCCCCGCGCCGTAACAACATCACAGCAGACTTCACCGATTGCATGTCCTCCATAATTTCAAGCACCGCGGTGGGAATTGCCCCCTCCACGTTTGGCCCACTGAGGGCACCGCCAGCCGACATGAGGCGCTCCTCAATGTACACCTTCCGCACCACCTCGAGCACTTGCCAGGCGGAATCTGTCAGCTCGTCAACCGGTGGTGTTGGTGGCAACTCCACACCCCCGCCAAAGCAGCCAATGCAATTCACAGAGCCTCCCCCACGCGGCTCCGCTTCCCAAGACCAGGCGTAGACGTAGCTGTCCTCCCCACTGGTGCAAAGGAAAAAAACATCGCGGCTGCTGTAGTTTCGGGAAGCCACATTTTCATCAGTTGTGTTATTGTTAGCTGCAGAAAAATCCAAACCCGAAACCTGGCGGAGAGGCGTCCGCGGAGTGGTATTTCGATGCACGGTGTAGGAATAAGCAGCGCTACGACGCACCATGCCGCCCTCACGCCGCACAAACTGCACAGATGTGACATTATGTCGATGCCCGCGCCACCGATGCAGCACATGTACACCATTTTCAATGCCTGTTACCATCTCAAGCGGTATCGCTGAATCCCACGAAATCTCATGCATGTCAAGCAACAAAATATGCCCATTTGTATCCCCCACGGCGAGGTAGGCGGCATCCTCGCTAACCTCCATCGCGGTTATCGCATCAAGTGCGTAGGTGGCACGGTAGCGCATCACCTCCGACAGGGTGCGTAGGTTCCACAACTGTACGACACCGTCATCGCTGCCAGTTACGGCATAGCCGGTTTCGGCCACAGGCACAATATGTCCAACGTAGCCACGGGCGGCAAGCTGCTCACGAAGAAGCAAACCAAAGCTTCCAGCAAAGGCAGGAGAGGAGGATATAAAGGCGTCAGAAAACAGTAATAGCGGTGGCAATTCATCACTGTTGCTATTCCGTTTCTCACCATACTCCTCCTCCTCCATGCTGGCGACGGTATCAGACGTGATCTTCAATGGGTTTCCCGCGGACGCCGTGGTCTGGCGTTCATTGTAGAAAAGATACCGCTCTCTTTGCTGCATGCATTCTCGTGTGATTGACACCGGATCTTGTAGGAGAGGCCCAGGGAGGAGAGCGACAAGGTCTAGCGGTGGTGCAAGACGACAGATGCTGTTCCTCTGCTGCGTTTGCCGTCGCTGCTGCAAACTTGAAAGACCAAGCACGTGCCGCTTGTTAAGCTGACCACTCTTCTCGCCGCTTATCAATGAAGTAACTGACGCCGCTGTCGGCGTGGGGTGCGGCGGTGTGACGCGGCGCGACTCCGAGAGAGCCGTGACTCCATTTTTTTTCCCCCCCTTCCCATGTGGCCGTCGCTTTTGCGGCACGTCCGTGAGCCGTGTGCAGGCAATGGGGCACGTAGTGGCCTCATCCACCGGCGTCACGCTAATGCCGCCGCGGTGGCCCACAACAACGAGGCCGAGGGCGGCCACAATCACGGCGCACGACACCCCGACGCCTGTGGTCACGATGGAGCGGTGGACGCTGCTCGAAGAATCCGCGGCAGCGATCACGTCACTGTCCGACGTCAACATGTAGAGGGCGGTGGTGCCATTCGACGACTGCTCACGCTCAAATGTCCCGCAGAGAAACGCAACGGGGTGCATAAACGAGGCCTTGCTGTTAAACCTGCCACACGCCAGGGAGCAGATTTCCCCTGATTCCCCAGGAAAGTCAAACGCGCGGAGCACCGATCCACTGAAGCTGTTGTACTCCAAAATGCGTCGCTCTCGCAGAAGCGCGACAAACACGTGCGACAACTCGGACTGCTCCACCGCCAGACAAAAAATTCCACCCTCAACAGTCCAGTAACGCACCACGTCACTCTGCAGGACCCAACGAAACCCCTTCTTCCTCTCCCGGTCGATAGAGCGACGTCTTCGTGCCCCTTCGCCGCCCTCCTCCGCCTCCTTCTTAAAGGAACCCTTGCACTCTCCATGCATATCCACCATCTTAGCATTCCAAATAATCACAACAGAGTCATCGGCACTCACCCAAAACCCAAAGGTGCGCTGGTACACAAGCCCGACAACGGCGCGCCGATGACCACAGTAATCGCCCGGGTATTCATCCGTTTGACGGATGTCCCATGCCCGCACATGGCGCCCGCCGAGGATGAGGCGACCATCCACAACGTCGTAGCGGGCACACAACATGTCTCCCGCCTTCAACGACGTAAGCCCATCGTCCCGCAGCATGTGCAAGCATTGATACGAAACGGTATCGATAAAGTACAACATACGTCTCGTGTCAAGTACTAACAACAACAATGGGTAACGTGGGGGTTGGATAAATGAGACATCAATCGGGGTCCCACTGGTTCCACTGCTGGTGGAAAAAATACGAAGATCAATTCGGTACAGAGGACGTGACGATGAGGACGCCCAAAAGTTAACAATGCGGTCGGCCCCACCTGTGGCGATAATACCACGCACGCTATGCCAACATATGCACGTAATACGTTTAGTGTGCCCACTGGGGTGAAACGGTAGGGGCCTACCAGGTAACGGCACCCCGTCACCCAACGTTAAAAACGGTACACAGATTCGACTTATGTGTCGCAGAATAACGGTGCCATCGTCACTTGCCGTCATAAGCAGGTCATGCATCTCACTCGTCAGGATACTTGTGATGCTGCCACGGTGCAGTTTGAGAGCAAGCACCGGTTCGTGCATGGAAGGTACCTCCAGCCGTGCCATGGCGATGTTTGAGATGGCAAACAACTGCGAGTGTAAGGAGTAAAATTGCAGCACCCCCGTCTCAAAGCCAAGCAGGAGGAAGACACCACTGGGAAGGACGGAGGCGGAGTTTGCACGCTTGTACTGCGCAAACGCCGCGGACCGGGCAAACCAGCACTTATTACTCTCATTATCGCCCACGTCGGAGTAATTGAGGGAAGAAGAGCGGGGAACAGCTGTTGTCGGGGTTTGAACCTCGCGGAGCTGATGCTGCCGCCACTGTTTTTGACGCCGTGGCTGTAACGATGCACTCGCCGTCGCCTCGCCAGTTTGCAAAACAAAAGCGTCATCCGTGCCTAACTGAGAAGCGTCGTGAGTGGCCCTAGCCTCCGCGTTGTCCGTCGCTTTCTTCGCATCCCTGGTACCATTTTTGGGCAGCCCAAAGAAAGTGTGGTGTGGACTCAGTTTATTATTCATTGGCGTAACAAGAGCATCCCCAAAGTGCAGCAGCACATCCGCCATGACGTGGTGTCGCCGTTCGAGGTGCTCATACGTCGGCGCCACTACACTGAGTCCAGTAAAGTAGCGGGAGACCTCCGTAAAGAACATCTCAATCGCCTCACGACGGTAGGCGCGAACCTTAAAGGTGGGTCGTAGCACCACCGCACCAGTCTCAACGGTGCCATTGATGTCTTGTTCCGTAAGTGGCAAATCATTAGCATTTTTCACATGAAACTCCCTCACTTGCGTGCACGTCCTCAATTTAGGCCGAAAGTGGGAACCCACGTTTGGGGGAATCGAGCAGCGGCCAATAAACGTTTTGAGCACCTCGCCTGTACCCGCGCGCAGCAGCGTGACGGTTCCGTCCATACACACCACGGCCAACACTTCCGCGTCCCCGAGGGAGGCTGGGCTCAACACCAAGTCAATAATGGGTGCCCCCGCCGCAAATATCGTGCACTCATGCACAATGGAAGGCTTGCCGTATGCATCTGCCAGTCGTGGGTTGGGCCGCCACACCTTCACAAGCCCGTCCCACGCCGCCGTGATATAGCGACGTCCGCTGTTGGAAAAGATAAGCCGACTGATAGGCTCTGAGTGATACAAGTGATGCACAAGGGGGTATTGCTGCTGCCAGAGATTCACGTTTAAAGGCGTGGGGGTAAAGTTCAGACAACGACCGGCAACATTCTCTGCACTACCGTCTTTTTCCCTCGCCGTCCCCCCGCGGCCGTACTGGCTCTTCAGCAGCAACTGTTGGCCACTCTGCAGGATGTAGCTACTAAACTCATCCCAGGAGAGGAATCCGTCACCGTTGGTGTCCATCACACTAAAGAGATTCTCCGCCGCCTCCACGTGGCTCTCACGCCGCCGTTGGTACAAGAACCGCGTGCGTGTCCGTGGACGACCAGCAAAACTCCAAGAGCTTTTAGCGGTCAATTCGAAGGAGCTTAGGCAGCCGTCTGAGGTCTCAATGGAGGGCCCCACCGCGTGCGTGGACGGCACCGCGGGCGGGAAGAGCGCATCAAAGTATGGCTCCACAATGAACCGCTCAAATACAGGAAAGGGAATCCCCTTTGCGCCTGCGCCACCCAAAACAAGGTCGTTACCTGACGCATGCAAAGGTGCACTACCATCTACAGGAACTTCCTGCCTATCCAACTCCTGCTCTCTGCTATGAATCATGGCCTCAAACTCATTCATCTCCTCCTCCTCGCGTTTAGTGGAGTCGTCAAAAGGCAACACAGTTCTCTTTTTACGTTGTTGTTGTTTCCCGTATAATATAAACACAATCTGCATGCGCTCAAGCATATGAAGGGGCACAATAGGATCACCAAGCCGAGCTGACATTTTATTCTTCCAGAAACTCGTCTTTTCCTGTGCCCGCCGCCCATTCCTTAACGGTGGTGTTTTCCAGGTTTCCTCCAATTGTTGTTGTTGCTGTCGCCCCAGAGCCTCTCTCGCCTGCAGCCTGTCATACACGGAGGTGACCTGCTCACCGAGGATGCCGCTGCTGGAGAGTAAAAGCTTATCTGTAGTCTTCTCCGTCTGTTCCATTTTGGCAGAAGGGCATCGCATGGAATGCAAGCTTTGCATCCGCTCATTCTGCCGTTTCATGCCCTCCACACACCCCCTTACCGCACCTTTTAGTGTCCTTCCTTTTTTTCCCTCTTGTGTGGCGCAATTTGTGTTTTGGCTTTTAAAAATGAGTTACCTCCCCGTCACGCATAAAATAAATAAATAAATAAAAAAAACAACGGAAAACGGTTTTGATTGTGTGCGCCCCTGCCTGCTGTTTGCGTCCCTTGGGCTTTGCATCAATTGTACACTTTGCAGTGGGGGCCACGGAGTGAGGTGTGGAGGGAGGCAAAGGAGAAAAGACCGGGGATGCAGGGCAGCACACAACCATCCTCACAGGACACACCGGGAACAGTGAAAGGCAAACAGAGAAGGAAATGTTCTCACTCCGTCCCAGCCCAACCCAGCCAGCAGTTGCTGCTGCAATGCTTTCACTCGAGGTCACGCCAAGTCATCGCCGAGAAGGAAGTGCTCACAGCAGGCGTGAAAATACTCTGCGGTTGCGCGGTGCTTGCGAGCAAAGCACAGAAAACCTCGCAGCGTTATGCACGATGTGGCGTCATCCGTTTCTGTCAGCGAAGTGTCTATGGTTTGAATCACCGCCGGGCTCACACCGCCACCGTCACGGATGTACGCAAAAAGAGCGTCCTCCTCCGTCAGCTGAGCAGGGGCCTTGGCGCGTGTGCCGCGCCACATTGTCGTGTGGTGGGGAAGGAAAAGGATGTCGCACAAAACCTCAAACATGGTGCGGTCCAAACTACGCCCAGCCATCGCGCCACGCCACGTGTCCTCCGCCGTCGCAGTAAACATCGAGCACAACACGTTGTTGGGTGGCGTACGGGCGAGGTGGCGGACTTCACTGCCGTAGACGAACGTGGAGGACCCTCCCCGCGCCATCGCGTCGGCGCACGAAGGGGCCAGTGGTGACAAACGCCCCACGCCCTCGTTCATAGCCGACAACACCTTCTTCTGTGCTAGCAACGCGTCCGCCGCCAATAGCAACATCGCGAAGGTGCGTCGCAGAGCAAACATCACGGCCGCCTCCCCCTCCATCTCGTCCATGTATACTTCCCCCACCGCCTGCAGCGCGGCCGGCGACCCTGCTTGGCACGGGACAGGCTCGGTGTTCATGGCGGAGAGAAAGTCACGAAAGGCAACGTACATGCCTCGCACAGCGGCGTGTCGCGAGAGGTGATACAGCAGGCGATCAAGGAGGATTGGATAACATGCGAAGGGCATCAGGAACTCGCCCAACTCTAACGGCGTCATGAACCCCTCTGGCACGTGACAACGAGGGCGCCACCGCAAGGATGTCGCAACAGCAGTGGAGTTGCCGTGGCGAGAGTGTAGAGCTGCCACAAAGCGACGCAGCATGTGCTCCATCCGCGCATACGACGTCCCCGCAAAGTGTGGATGTCCCGCCTCCACATTGACAGCCTCCAATGGCAACCTCAGGTCGTGTGCTGCAAGGGTGAGCCACACGTCCTTGTCATTGTGCTCGGTTGCAGGCACCTGCATCGCGTGTGCCATGACACGACGCACGTTTTCCGCATAGAGCGTGGCATCCTGCCGCTCCGCCGACGATGGATCGTAGACGGGAAGGTACTCCAGCTCTACGGTGTGATAGACTTGACACATGGTGTATAAAAGCAGCCGTGTCGCGGGCCATCGCACGCAGCACCAGGCGGGGTCAAACTGTGTGTAGGTATGTCGCACAAGCAGCGGCTGCACAGGGAGACCTGCGGTGAAGGCGTCTGTGTTGAACTGAATGAGTGCCCGTGAATTTGTGCAGCACGGTTCAGGAAACACAAGCAGTGGTAATCCGTCATGCTTCCGCACACCACCGTTCCGCTGCATCTGCTTCAGCAAAGCCAACCTTGACTTTACCACCTCACGGTCCTCGTGAATGCATCGCTGGCCACGCGCAAACACATCCATGAAACCGCCCCTGTCCCCCCCCACGACAAGCGAGGCGTCGTGCTCACCGAGCAGTAATAGGCCGTCCTGTAGGGTGCAGTGGTTTGCCACAATAACAGGGGCATCTGCGTAGGAGCCGTCCGCATGACGGCCGTGGTTGATGCTCTTCCGACGATGAACACGCCAGTAGCCAAGCGCCAATGTGAGCCAGCGCAGCACCGCACGTGCCACACGTCGGCTGCGTTGGCGTAGGCCCCGCATGGGCCCCGCCACAGAGCGTCGTGGTGTGTTCCCATCTCGCTTCTGCCGGCGTTCCGCCGCTTCAGTGACCCCACCACCGATGTGGTTTATCAGCACGGAGAGAACCCAGGCCAGCGCAAGAAGCAGCACTGCGTACAACACACGCAGTGGAAACAGTAATACTCCGACAGTAAAAATTGTAAGCCACTGCCGCACCGAGCCAAATGACTCTTGCAACGGGGACAAAAAAGGGTGACACGCCTCGCGTGGTAGCGCCGGACGCGATGCCCGCACCGTTGCCAGGCACAACCCCGCCGCCTTGACGCCCCGTGGCGCACACGCAGGCGAGCCTTGCGTCCTCCTTTCCACTGTGGTAGCCTGGACGCGACGCGAGGGGCTGTCACACACGGCACGCGTCCAAGAAACCGCCAACGGTGTGGCGAGGGCCCGACGCGTGAGGCTGCCACAGCCGGCACGGGTGGACATCAATGTGATACGACCGTGTCAATGAAGCCAACAACAGCAAAGAGAACTCCTGCCGCCACCCTGCACATGTGTGGGGGCGGAACCAGCCAGCCACGCAACCATGCATGCCGACATACACGTAGCGGCACCGACAACACACATACACACAGCGCCCAGGAAGAAGGGCAAAAAACAGCAAGGGAGGAGGAGGAGGAGAATGTGGGAGAGGCACGGGATCACCGACTGAGCAGAGGCAGTCAGCACCGCAAAAAAGAGATGACTCCAGCAAGAAAAACAACAACAAAAGAAGCAACATCAACAAGCAAACAAAACAAAACAAAAAAAAACGGCAACAAACAGCCACATAGACATGTTGGGCAAACTCTTTTTTCTTCTGCATCGCCACATGTCATTCCCCCTTTTCCTCTTCCACTACCCACACCACACAACGGTAATTGACTACACCGTAACATTCTCCAGGACTTGGTATAGACGTTCTGCGTACTCCTTTGGCGGCACGACGCTGATTTGTCGCCTGTCGCTCCACAGTCCCTTTGCAAAGTTCTCAAGCCGTTTGGCTGGTGTGTACTCCTGCAGGACGTCAATAATACCAAGGTAGTACACATCTTCCCGCGCCGTTGTGTCATCGCCCGCAGCATAAATCGGTAGGGACAGCACGCCTCCATCGCAGCCGTGAATGCAGCTGTTATCCATCTTTTGCAGCTGTTCCGCCCCAACACCAATGGCTTCGGACGTACGTGTTTGCTGCCAGTAACTCCCACAACGCTCTTTCAGCACAATCGTCTTCGAGGGACCTTCCTTGCGAGAAAAGACACGGCTGCGCACCCCAATCAGGCAGCTGTAGTCGACAATGTTAAGCGAGTGCAAAAAGTTCACGTCGGAGCGCAACTGCGCAAGCACATGGGCGCGCTGCAACGGGCCACAAATGATGAGCTGAGCGGGAAGGTCATTGTCTTTCAGGAGCAGCGCTCCAAACGAGGTACGGGGCGCCGTCTCTGTGGTTGTTGAGCGGCCCACCGTGCTCCCCTTTACATCGTAAATACGATGAATGTAGTACCGGGTGGAGAAGACATTTTGCATGAGCACGTACTGCTTGTGTGTGCGAAACCGCAGCCACGAGAAGGTTAGCAAGGCGTAGAAGCGGGGCAGCAAGGTGTCGGGGTGGCGCTCGCAAAAGGAGACGTAGCTGCTAAGAAAGCGATCCCGCAGGAACTTAAACTCACTTTTTTTAAGGCTTTTCATAACAAAATTCCCAAAAAAAATGAGTGTAGTGCCACTTTTGCCTGGGGAAATCGCCTGCCGCCAGACCGCGTTTTCCCCCAGCGAGGCCCGAAAACCCTCCGCGTCCATGCCGAGAAAACTCCGAATCTGGCTAAAAAGGACAGGGGAGTGCAACGTGAGGCATATCTCGTCCTCGCGATAGTTGCTAGGCGACAACACGTCCACGGCAAAGCTTGCCACCAGCTCGCTGTCACTGTTCTCCGCATGGAACGGGGGAAGAACGGGGGGAAAGGGTTCCGCAACCGTCTCCAGCAACGGTCGGTTTTGACAACAACGAAAATGCAAACGGGTCGTCTCATCAATGGCCCGTCTTACTGCGGAGGACGGAATGTTACGATACAACCCGTGGGGCAACAGGGGCAGCGGCAAGGGGCAATCGGCGGTGTCCTGTGCCCCCACCACCTCCATGGAGTTTTGTTCCCTCACCTCCTCGCTGTCAAAACTGTACGACATATCCGAAGAGACGTAATGAGTATCGCTGTGAGTACCGCCTTCTTCTTCCTCCTCTTGTTGTTGTTGCTGCCGGTGATGATGGTTATGTTCATGAAATAATTCCATATCCGCCCCTTCCGGAGCTTTTTCAAAAGAGTTCGATGCTATTGCTGCAGTTGCATCAGCTGCGGAAGACGACGCAGAGGCGTAAACAAACTTTGCAAATGCCATGCGGAGGACTTGATGCGCATACCATGTGCGGTTGTGAGGCCCCTTTGGATCCACCTCAACCCCCAACTGATTCGGGTTCATGATCGGAGAACCAATACCCGCATTCGGTGACGATGCGGTGTATCTGCAGGGACTAGCAGCTGCATCATCGCCGTGAAACGCAGACAGGGATGCGGTGCGCCTGTGCGGCAGGTGCCACTGCCCCCGCCTCGCCAAGGAAGCGAGTGGTGAAGATGGAGACGCCGGCATCTCCGTATGCGGCGGAAGTTCTGTCATCAAATGCACTTGCACCTGCCTGTTGGAGGAGCCAAGGACAGCATCACGGTGCTTAACGCTTGCTTCACCATTGGCATCCACAGTGGTGCGCAGCATCACCGCGTTACGCAGCCGCTGTCGCCGTCCCTCCATTCGTAAGGCGGCTCGACTCAAAAAGTTCTCACACCACGGCGTGTCAGTGTGGTTGGTGGCCGTTAAGGCATCCCGGGAGGTTTCTGACTGCGGCGTTGGTGAGAATAACCTGCCTTCATTAAGCGGCGTCATGCACTCCCGACAGCTGCTGCCAGAGACGCATTGTAGGCCTATCGTGCTCGAGCGCTGTGTCGCACACTTCGGCCGCGGAGATCCGTGGTAGAGGGAATCTCCAGTACACACGAAATCGCCGGTAGCAGGCGAGGCCGCAGACGGTGGTACGTCAGATCTCTCAACAGCCACCACCTTTTCTGCGTGCCCCATCGAAGTGGGGGTGGAGCCCCTACTGTGCACCACGAGGCCGTCGAACAGTTCCTGCTGCAGGTGGCTACCACAGAGAACCTCGTGATATTCCACCGTTGACTCACTCGTGCCGACATCGCCGCCGCCTCCTCCTCCTCCTTCAGACGTGTGTGAAGGCGCCGGGGCCTCTTGACGGAAGACTCCACCATCGTGGGTTGAGCGTCGCTGGCGTCTTGAGGGGTGCCGCTCCGCCTCGTCCAACGCGAACCGCATAAGCTCCAACTCCGCAGAGAATTCATCCGCCTGGGCCTTTCGCCGCATCCGTTCACACTGCAGCTGGTTCTCCAGCGCCCGCACTCTTACCTGCAGAGCCTTATTGTCGTTTTCGTGGGGGTTGTGCCCCTCGAGGGGAAGCGGGGATACATTGCCTAGTGCCTCCACTACCTCGCCGCAACGGCCTTGTTCTGCTGCTGACGCCGGCGCTCGTGGCCTCGGCGACGTCGTTGAGAAAAAATGTTCTGCGCTGCAGCGCGAACACAACTGGTGCGACATCCGCGATGTTGCACTAGACGGCTGTGAGTGGGTGAATTCGCTCAAGTCATCCCTCTCATGCGAACCCCCGTGCTCCTTCTCGTTGTCGTTGCCTGTTTTCCCCACACATGGCTGCTGCTCTGGCTGGCGGCTGTGGAGCAGTTTCTGCTGCTGCCGGAGTTGCAGTATGGTACGAACCAGCAGACGGTTCTCCCGCTGCATTCGCCTCGCCTGCCGCTTGTGGTGCTCAACCTCCTCCTTGAGAACCGTCACCACCTCCTGCAGCGCCGCCGTATCCATCGCGCCCGCTCCCAATCTGTGGGGGATGTGTGAGAGTATGCACTGCTGCTACGGGGCTCCCAAGGGCCGCCACTGACTCCCTCCCGCAACGATGGCGCTACGGCACAGCGAGAGACACACGGACTGACGGAAGAAGAGGCGAAGCGTTGAAAAAGGGCCCGCACAAGTTCTTTCAGGATGCGTGCGTACTATACATATGCAAGGAGCACAGCTGACACACACAGAGACACAGACATAGCTGCAGCAACGCGTGACAATTCACACCCCAAAAAAAAAGATCAAAATGACGATACGCCCCTCCCCGCCCTCCCCACCCACAGCCACACCCGCACACGCCGACACGCACTCCCCCTCCATAGCTCTCTCTCTCTCTCTCTCTTTCTCCCGCTCTCTCTCTCTCTACTTCCCTATTTTTATTTTATTGATTCGCCTTTTATTTGCTCATATAAACATAGCAAGCGTATACAAGACACACCTGGCACACAGAAGCAGAAGCACAAAGGAAACCACAGCGAGAAGAAGAAGAATAATAAAAAAAAAAAAAAAAAGGAAAAAAGGATCCTCCACACAGCGCAAATGCAGGTCTGCCCACCCCCCGTATTCTCACAATGATATCTCAACACCTATGCGTCTTGTGAGCGTCTTGGTATTGTCTTACCTCTCTTTGTTTTCTCCCCTCTTCGTCAGCGTCCGTCTGACGCATATCGCCGGGTAAGTTAATAAGGTAGCCATGTCATTACCGGATGTAAACATCGTGTACCTCTCTCTCTCTCTCTCTCTTTTTCCTTGCGGAGGCCTTACGTCTTGCACTCCATCACCGTTGCCGCTCCAAGGTCCCACGCACCCCACAAACCACCTAGTTTTCGTTGGGCAGAGAGAGCTCTCTCTCTCTTTTCTCTCCACAGTTTCTCGTTCACATTCCTCCAGAAGCTATTGCTTTAAAAGAAAAAAAAACATTATTATTTTTTTTTATTCAGCTCCTTTTCGTCTCTCTTACACCCAGCGTCAGGGAGGGCGCGAGGATGAGGTATGAGCATCCCTATAACTATACATCTTTGTCGATGTTTTTCCCTCTCCTCTGCAAGCCTTTCCCCCGCCACTTTTTTGTTTACTTCCTCTTTTGCTTACCTGCATTAAGTTATATGAAATGGCAGCCTTCTTTTTGTTTAATTTTGGTTAAAGTTTTTTTTTTCTTTCCGTGTGGCCCTTTTCTTTTCGCTCTTTCTTCAACTTCCGTCCTTCCCTTTGCACATGCGTGTGCGTGCGTGTGCACCCTGGGTGGTGGCTCCGCCTTGACACTTTCACAGCAGCTCGCTTTCGCCGCATGGGAGGATGTCGTTCATGGCCTGCTCTCGCTCCGCCTTGAGCAGGCTGGAGATGTACGCCACCGCCTCATGAAAATCGTTAGTTAGACCTTGAATGCGGCGAAGACGCACAAGGGTGTAGCCGGGAGACGCCGAGGCCAAAATCACGTCGACGTCGCAGACGCCAATCATCAGCTTGGAACCGCTGGAATCACGCAGAAATTTGCGGCGTGTCTGCATCACTGCCGCCTGCGTTGAGGGGTCCATGGCTTGCGTGGACAAACCGTTGGTTTTGTGCTTCCCGTTGGGAGTGCCAAGGAATGAGTTTCGTGGAAGCGACTTCGACAGTGAGGGGGGACCCGAGCCACGGGCCAGTGGGGTGCCGAGCGCTAACGCCTCGATGAAGGGGTCCATCCCTAACGTCGTCCCCGCCTCATTGGCAGAGGCCGGCAACGAGCGCATGGCGAACTCCATGGTGATGCCGGTTTCCATTGCGGCGGAGCCACGATAACGAAACGAGTGCACAGTCTCCGTCTTGGATGCAACGTCGTCAATGAGTATCGGCATAAGACGCTCTTGACAGCTACGCAACTTCTCTGCAATGGCGTCTTGCTCCCCGGCAACAAAAAAACCATGATTCACACACTCGTTCTCGTTATGCAACTGCCGCATCTCTGACAGGTTTGTAGCGTCAGCAAGTTTTTTCCCCATCGGGTGCCGCACGAGCACCTCCCGCTTCATCACTCCCTTCACAAACTTATCAAACGTAATGCCTCTGCCACCGGAGTAGTTAGGCTCGTCAAAGAAGCGCATTAGGCTCTGGATGTCTTCCGCAGTCGCACTAATATTACAGCGCTCAAACAGCCGCTCGCACTGCTCCACCGTGATCGCGCCGGTGTGCAAAACATCCACGCTGTCAAAGGCAGAGCGCAACTGCCGCACCTCCTTCTTCTCCGCGTCCACCGTCTGCGCGTCCATAATTTTCAACAACTGAAAGTCGTTCTGCGCCCGAAAGCTCCGCTTCCCGAGGCCCTTGTTGACCCACGCGTCACGAAACTGCCCATACGTCACAAATTTACTCTTGGCGTCTCCGGTGAGAAGCTGCATAAGCTCCGACACAACCTCCGCTTCTACTTGGCTCCCGTGCAAGGTGGCGAGCATGTCCCGTATTTCGTCCCGAGTAATGTTTTCGTAGCCGTCGATAGCGATTTTGTCAAACGCCGCCCTCAACGCGTCCTCCTCCTCGCGGGTCACGCGGTGTTGCTTTGAAAAGTCAAGGAACGTGACGGACCGCTTGAGGAACTTGCGGTGAGGAAAAAGAGCGGCATCAAAGCTCTCACCAAACCACTCATCCTCAATGATTTGCTGCAGCGTTGGACGATCGGTGGGCTCGCGCCCGAGCATCGAGAGCAAAATTGACCTGGCGCTTGGAGTGAGACGCTGCTCCTCCTCCTCCTGAAAGCTGAGCGTTCCTCTTTGAATAAGGCGTAGTGTCTCCTCGTCGCTACGACCGTCAAAAGGTAGACGACCGGTGAGCATGAAAAACAGAATGACCCCCGCACTCCATAGGTCCTGCAGAAAGGGATCCTGCGCAGCAGGACTTTCTGGGTCGGAGATTGCCTCGGGGGAGTTGTAGTGCAGCGTCCCAATCGGACGCAGATTCACCGCCTGCTCACTCGTGTCATCGTCGTGAAGCTCCTCAAGCTCCGGCCGGCTGGAAAAGCCAAAGTCGCACACAAGCAAGTTCTTGTTCTTCCCAAGCAGCAGGTTTTCTGCCTTTAAATCGCCGTGTGCCACACCCTTTCCGTGGCAGTAGTCAATGGCGGAGATAAGCTGCTGAAAGTACCGCCGCGCATTCTCCTCCGAGAAGTACGTTTCGGAGATAATAAGATCAAACAGCTCACCCCCCTCCGCCAACTCCAGCACAAAGTAAAATGATGAGGTGCTCTGCAGAAACTTGTACAGCTTCACCACATATGGATGCTCCAGCGACTGCATAACAGTTGCCTCCTGTATAATCCGTGATTCACATCCGAAGAAGCAGTCATTCTGCAGAATCTTCAGTGCGAATTTCTCACCCGATGGCACGTACGTCACATGGTAGACGGAACCAAAGCTACCCTCTCCAAGGCGCTGGCCAATGACGTAATCCTTCAGCACCACCGCCTCATCCTCCAGGAGCGAGGATCCTGTAAATTCGTTGGTTATCGGCATAATTTCTGCTATCCACTTCGGCTGGTGTGGAGGGCAAAGTGCGTTCCCCCACAAATCAATCAATACCTGCACCCAAATACCCGCAACGAATGCCAAGAGCCAAACAAGCAGCTCCCTGGCTGTCGAAGAGGGACACCGCCCTACGCTCCCACACGCACCTTTTCACAATTCTTTATTATCCTTCCCTAATCCCTCCCCTCCTCTCTCTCCCCCGATTTCTTTTGCCCGCTTTTGTTCGTGGCGCGTCCCACAAGCGCCTTCTGTTGCCCTTTTTTTTTGCCTACTTCCCTCTCAATGTCTCCTCCCCCCCCCCTCCTCCTCCTCTTCAATGTTGCCCTCTGACACGCTCCTCTGTTTGCGAGGGGTTCCGCGGCACCGGTAAACTGCACGAAGCAACAAACGCTCCGATAAGAGGAGTATTGTAGGTGATAGAAACAAAGAGGGATATATATATATATACCACAAGAACGAAGAAGAAGAAAATAGACTGAGAACACTCTACGGGGCATGACAGCAGGTGCTACGCACTGACACAGTATAGAAACGGCAAGGCGCACGCAGGTAGCCGCTTGTGTCTGCCGAAGGCAGACTAACCCACAGAACGATACCACCACCGACGCAACAAGGGGTCAACGCAGCTCCAGCGAAGCGTTACATCATGTAAAGTACAACCACAAAGCAAAGAAAGAAGTAGGCGCGTGTGTATACGTGGGGAACAGCCATAAGTATAAACAAAAGGCAAAGAAAACGGAATGCACTGCTGACTGGGTAATAAGGTAAAGTTGAGCGCCCACGCACACATACAGATATATATATATATATATATGAGAGTGAAAAACACATTGAGGTTCATTTCCATGAGATGCACGTATTATCTCAAATATTCTTAGCCTTTTTGCTTCTCTTTCTCTCGCTACCTCGGCTTTGCCCAGACGAGGAACACCCTTCACACTTTACACACACACGCACACGTGCACACATCACTGCATATATATATATATATATATATATATATATATATATA